CGACCCAACCGGGTCGACCCGAAAACCGGTGAACCAGTCATGTAACCAGTCCGATTTTTATATAGGACCGGCCATGTTACAGAACCGGTGCGACCTGACCGGTTTTTGTAAAAATCGGTGACCCGGTCGGTTCAACCGCTGACCCGGCCCTCTCTATAAAAAAACTAATTTATTTTCATAAATTAATTTCTTCTTTTTTTTTACTCTCAAACACAAATGACTTGTTTTCTTTTGAAATATTTGAGTGATTTGTAGCTTATTAACTTACATAGATTATGTACCTACAACACTAATATTATCTTGATTATGCAATATTCAGGGAATTTTGATTTGATTTATAGTTAGAGATGTCGTTTACTGAACCTGAAACACTAGTATCACAAATATTATATGTTTGATTGATCTTTTATTGGACAATGATGTGTAATTTATTATTTTCATATTAAAATATTTGAAATTGGTATATTTTTTTACAAGTATTTAAGTATATTTATAGTTTTTTTTAATATAAATTGTATATTTACATATACTTATCGGGTCATACGGTTGAACCAGTGACCCACTACCTCGACCGGGTCAATAACCGGGCCGAGTTTAATAACATTGTTTAAAAGAGTTGAAATTTGTTTCAGCTTAGATTCAAACTCATGACTTATATTAAGTTACATATTACAATTTCAACCATGACAACACTTTTGTGTTAATAATACACCAATTACAATATGTATTTTATTATATATATATATATATATATATATATATATATATATATATATGTAGTTTTTGATTTTTTTCAGCCATTTTACGTGTAGCAGTGACAAATTTTTCATGTATATAGGTTCAAGCATTTAATGTAGGAAATCATAACCACACCAAAGGTGAAAGCATTTAATATGGAGAATCATAACCATACACTTATCATTGTTGCACGTACAACAACTTTAGATATGATTTTACCATATATATTCAGTTTCACGAGTTAGATTTATGACTCGCTGGTTGAACCAATGATTCTAATAATTCATTATCTTGACCGAATCGATTATCGGACTAGGTTTAATAACATTAGAAGAAAGTTTGGCAAAGATTAAAGAAAAAGTCTCTTCTTTCTTCACAAATAATTGTTTAAATAATTATCTCGATCCTAATATTTTTTTATTTAAAAAAACACATACAATACTTTTATTTTTACAAGGCAAATTTTTTATGCAAGAAAGTCAAAATATATATTTTATTCAATAATCAATATAAACTCTTTTATTTTTAACATTCATTATAATAAGGGTCCTTTTTTTCTTGCTGCAATATTTTTGTTGCAGCAAACAATTATAACTATATATTTCTTGGAATGCATAGTTATAATTGCAAAGCAATTTTTTTCTGTCTCTTAAGAAGGTGTCTGCTAACCTGACATGGAGAAAAAGAAAAAAAAATAGTTTTTCGATTATAACTGTATTTTCGGGAGGGATATGTTATTCTGCCTACTCTTATTTTCCCTACCTTTGCTTACCCCTTTCAATATCGTTCGATTACAATCTAATCCAACGGTTCATATTTACGAAATAAAATAATTTTTTTTCCTTTTTTTTCTCCTCGCTTCTTTCCACATCCTTTCTCTCTCCTCTCCTTTCTCTATTCCTATGCGATTTGCGTCTCTATGTGACTAGATCTAAGTAACATATATTGTAAAATTAACACAAAATCACACCTAGTGATCTGCATCTCTATGTGACTGGATCTATTAATTTGTGTGCTAAATCAAGGAATGACGTGACTGCAGTGAACTATGACTCTGGGTCTAAGTTGCCTTTTCTTTCAAGTCGAATACCACTTCAACAATCAACTAAGGCCATAGTTAGATCATAAGAAAATTATACCTGCCTATTTATATTTTGAGGAAAATTTTTAATCTTGATTTTCTTTGGAGGAAACAACAATCAACAAACGATACATATTTTGAGGAAAATATTTAACCTTGATTTTCTTTAGATCCAGTCACATAGATACGCAAATCGTAGAGGAAGAGAGAAAGAGGAGGAGAGAGAAAGGGTGTGGAAGGAAGCGAGGAGAAAAAAAGGAAAAAAATATTTATTTTATTTCGTAAATATGAACTGTTGGATTAGATCGTAATCGAACGGTATTGAAAGAGATAAACAAAGGTAGGCAAAATAAAAGTAGACAACATAACATAACAAGTACATTTCCCTTATAATAATGAGAAAGATTTTAGTATAATCACAAAAAAACAACCAATAATATAAAAATCAGAAGAATTAGCAACATCATCTTAGGATGCCTAATACATTACAAAATTTTATTTCAGCCAAACCTTTAATTAGAGGAATAGCTAGAATTAATTTTTTTTTGGATAATCCACAGATATCCTTTACGGGAGATAATCTTATCAGAAAAATATTTCTGCAGTTACTACAGATAAGTTATCTGCATTTACTCCCAAAACGATATCGTTTTGAGATTGAATGATTAAAAAATTATAATTATAAAGACTATAATAGCCCTGAAATAAATTAAAATTACAAAAATACTATGATTTCCGTCCTAAAATGACGTCATATTGGGCTTACTGCAGATAACTTATCTGCAGTGATTGCATAAAAAAAGAACCCTAATCTTATTTGGGATGAGTCTATGATTAAGACTTTAAATTTCTTCCAAAAATGATACTGAGAGGATCAACTAGAAATATTTTTATCCCCTAATATTTCACCAGATTTTAGATTTGATTTCATTTTTTATATTTTGTTTACATTTTAAATAGTACTTTTTTCATTTTAATGTATCCTTAAGTTGATGTCATATAAACTACAAACGCTGAGTGTTGACATGAAGCTTACGTGACTAGTTGGAAACTTGGAATAACATGTCTAATATGATATTTTAGTCAAATGTTATAAACCAAAATATAGTTTTAGCCTTTAAATTTTTTAGTTTTTATTTTTAAAATTTTTTGTCAATTGACTTGGGAGTTGGGTCAAGTCTTCTCCACTATGCATAGTTCAATTTACTTCCCAGTACAGGGTTCCGGAATCTCAAGATTTTCTTCGTTTCTTCATGTCATTAGAACTAAGAATTGTATTGAAGAAGAGCAAGCCAAACCAAGAAGCTGGGAATGAGTCTCCCATTACCTAAAATTACTATAAGATATAGATCAACGTATACTAAATTATTCTAACTTAACTAGTGGTCTTAAGTTTGAATTCTCAGTACATATGTGTTAAAAACTTGGTACAAAGAGTTTTGCTACATTATGATCTTACCCGATTCGAATTGAACTAATCAATAAATCAATGATCTAGTAGAGAAATAAAAAAATGATTGATTTGTTTAAAGGGAAAAGTTCACCAATGCCCCTGTGGTTTGCTTCATAATCACTTATGCCCCTTTGGTTTTTTTCTATCACATATGTCCCTTTGGTTTTTCTCTATCACATATGCCCCTGTGCTTTGTAAAAAATAAAAAACCACAGGGGCATATGTGATAAAAAACATACCCTCTTGCAAACCACAATGACATATGTGATAAAAAAATCACAGGGACATAAGTGATTCTGAAGCAAACCATAGGGGCATTGGTGAACTTTTCCCTTGTTTAAAATCTTTGAACCCATATAAGTGTTTTAAATTTGGGAGTGGATCTCTCATATTAAAAATCTGCACCTGAATTTTTTTGTATCTATCTCTCGATTCACATGCATTGAATATGTAGAGTTTACTTATTATTAATGAAGAAAGATATAAACATAAAAATTTCACATGACACTCATGTGAAATTTTAACATGAAAGGATCTATTATGATTTGATTGAATCATGAAAAATGAACCTCAGATAAATTGTGAAAAATAAATGAAAGGTAGATGCATTCGGGCATGATCTACTTAGGTAACTCGATTTTTATCCTGAATTATTTTTGGATTCATTCAAACCAAAACTTTTAACATTATAATAAAAATTCAAACATATTATTTTTATACTAGTTTTTGAGTAAGAAGTCTTATATCTCAATCTTTATCATTGATATGTTCATATCTCAATCTTTACCATTGATATGTTCATATCTAATACTTGACGTATTTAATGTATCAGAGCCGTTAAATATAAATAAAACGAGTGACTAAAGTTAAGAGTGCAACTTATATTAATATAAAATAAGGGGAAGTAATATACAAAAAAAAATAAGAGAAAGTATATTGTAACAACCAATGTTACTACTAATATTATTACCAATCAATTTCACCGTTAGATCGATTATGTTGATCAAACAGTTATATTTATTTCTATCTTTGTATGGTTATGATCCCTATATTTAATATTTAATATATATTTTCAGCTTTATATAGTTATGATTCCCCATATTTAATATTATGAGGAATCATAACCATACAAAGATGAAAATAAATATAACTGTTGGAATAAGATAATCGATTTATTGGTAATTTAATTGGTTGTTACAATATTTTATCCTATAAAATAATACAGACATATATTTTGATATAATTAAATTATCATATTTGAATAAATTTGTATATTAAAAATTTGGCTTTAATAAATCTATAATGAATGTAGATAAGTTATATACATTCGCTCGCAAAATGACGTTGTGTTGGTTTGAAAAATTAAAAAATTATAATAAAAAAATTATTATAACATTAAATTAAATTATAATTACAAAAATACTTTAATTTTTGCCTCAAAATAATATTGTTTTGAACTTATTATAAATAAGTTATGTACGTTTGATTATAAAAAGCGAACCCTAAAATTTTCCAATAGAAAACTGGAAATTCACCAAATCCAATTTGCATTTTAATCCAACTTATAGGATGTTATAAGAAAACGTATTAAATTGAATAATTTAACTTTTGCTCACAAGTTTAATTCAATTGGAATCAAAACAAAAATATAATATATAATATAATGTAACATAACACTATATATACCTAAGAACAAAAGAATCTGGAACACAGAAGAAAAAGGTTTTGGAAGGAACAAACATACTGGTAAACCCTACATACATCTGTAACCTGAATCACAAATTTTAAGGTAAAAATAAAAAATAAAAAATCATCAATGGCAGAAAAAAAAGAAGGATCAAGTTCGGAGATGTCTCTGAAGGATCAGGGCAACGAGTTTTTCAAGTCAGGCAAGTATCTCAAAGCTGCTGCACTCTACACTCAAGCCATCAAGCAAGACCCTTCAAACCCCACACTCTATAGGTACTCTTTTTCTTTCAAATTTTTAATCTTTTTCTTTGTGGTAACATTGTTCTCTTTGATTGAATTTTTGGGTTTCAAATTCTGCCTGTGCATTGTGGTTTTCTCGATCCAGGTTTTGGTGTTTTCTTCTGGTTTTGTTTGTGTCCTTGTTCTGAAAACTATATCAGAAGTGGGTATCTTTTTTTGTGTGCAGTTTTTTATTTATTTATTTTTTGTTTTTTAGATTTGTTGGATTTCTCAGTTTTTATAGACTATGAAGTGTCAAGTTTTATTGTCAGTTTATGAAAGGTTTCAGAATTGGAGTTTTAGTGGCAGTTTGGCAATGCAATGTGTTATTTGGGTCGGAGTTACATCAATGTGGCGCTTTGGATGGTGCACTTGGATGGGAAAGAAGCTTCCATTTCCATCAAATTTCTCTTCTGTTAATGTGAAACCGTGTAGAATAGTAGACTGTATTAAACGTGTTTACTGGATTGTTCTGAGGTCTACTAAAAGAACACGGTAACGAAAGTCCCGAAGCTAGGTGGCTAACTCTGTAAATAGAACATATCACAAAAATAATGAAAAAATGGAAATTACAATGATAGATAAATTTTTTTTTGAAAAATTGGTGGTGAGCTTATCCCTTGTACACCCTCTCATAAACCAAATAGTCCTTTGCCTTGCAATTCTTGATGTCTTACTTCATAAGAGTGTCATTGGTCTCTTATTTATGGTGATGCTTCCGTAGGGTCTTTGACTCACTTATGCCTTGAAGGTTCGTGAGCTTTGTTTATTGAACTGACACTGTATTATATCAAAATGAAAAAAAAAAAAAAATACTGTCACAGTAATAGAGAAAGAGCTTTACCATGGTTTAAAGTGCAAGTTCCAGTGGTCTCCTTTTGCTTCCTCTGCATATACCATTTCCTGATGGTCATTATAATATTTGCATGGTGGTGTCGGATCGTATTTCCTGTCTTTCTGTTGGAATAGTATTAATGGCATTTTTTATTTTAATGTTAATTTGTAAATCATTTGTTTTAATGGGATTATTCTGTGGCTTTCATAGTGTTTGGATACGCCCACTCTTCCATGTCCCATCATATATCATATGATATGATTATTATGGCATGCAGTATATATTATCTATTACTGTATTTGAACATTAAAACAGTGACGTTAATCCAGATTCCAGACTACTGAAAAAATATTTCTGTAGATGCTTATCATGATTGAGCACTCAGAATAGGGTTGTTTCTTTGACTGGTAAACTATTTCATTATATCCTTTTTTGTGCTTAATTCTTGTTTGATATTTGTTTGTGTTAATTGTCCCACACATTAATTGAGCTTCTGATCACATCTAATGCCAGATGGCACATTGCTGGGGATAATTACTAATATAGGTCATTCTAGAAATGCATTGTCTGGTACACTTGGAAGTTACTGGTTTGTTCTTTCTTATGCTAATTGAGTAGTTTGGATCTATGTTTTTCAGCTTTGAGATATGTAACAGCACTCAATGCATAAATATCTTGTCGTGATGTATATTCTGTTCATACGTTGTCTCCCAGTAATCGTGCCGCAGCATTGCTTCAATTGGATAAGCTTAGTAAAGCTCTTGATGATGCTGAGATGACTATTAAATTAAAACCCCAATGGGAAAAGGTAACTGTTCATCAAATTTTCTTAATATTAACAGTGTTTGAACCCTTGAAATACATTTTTGAGTGATGCTGCTTGAATACATTTCCAGGGATATTTCAGGAAGGGATGCATTTTGGAGGCCATGAAAAGATATGATGACGTATGTATTGTATATAACTTCTTTTTTCTTAATATTTTATTGGAAGCTGGGTAATCTGCTAAATTTTTGGGTTTTTGGTTCTAATACGTCTGCTTGTGTGAATATTTGTAGGCTTTAGCTGCCTTTCAGATAGCTTCGCAGTATAACCCACAAAGTCAAGAAGTATCAAAAAAGATAAGGAAGATAAACCAACTAGTGAAAGATAGCGAGCGAGCTCAAGAACTGGAGAATATGAAATCAAATGTTGACATGGCCAAACATTTAGATACACTGAAACCTGAAATGGTTAGTATACATGTATTCCTGTTCTATTGTAATTTGTAGGAGTACGTAAAGAGGCATGTGCTCTGTTAGATTTTCTTTTGCATTAATTAATATATATGATGTAGAAAGGGTAAGAGACAAATAGAAGGGAAGAAGAAATTCAGTGAGAGAGACAAAAAGGAGGGAAAAATACAGAAGACAAGGGGAACAAGTATACTGAGGAGGGACAAACAGAACTTTAAGAACAATTTCTATTCTTAAATCAAGTCTAAAGTATCAAATTCAGTACATAGTTATCCTTTTTGATAACTGAAATTTCTTAAGTTATTAAAAAAATAAAAACTTCAAATAACCCAAATTTAGTAAAACTTACCTTAATAACACCCAAAATACAAAACAAATAAATACTAATATAACAGTAAAATCCCAATCAATACAAATATATCCTTCCATTTCCTAATCCGTGCAGTACTACTTTTCCTATTTCTCCACCGTTCTTCCTTGGTTGCTTAAAACTTGTCCTTTAGTCTTGAAGTGTTGCAACCATGGTAGTAAAAATTGCGATCTTCCTTGTCCGATTGCTCGATCTGATGATTTTCCCCCTACTAGAAATCTCATTCATGCTCAGAAACTTGTTTTGGTGGGACCGGGTATGATTGTTGAGTATCATTGTAAGATCATAGGATCTTCCGGTAAGAGCAATTGGATTGTGGATGATCCCACCCTGCCGCAATAAACTCTAATTTGAAGATCCACACGCACTGGAATCTGAAGACTCAATTTTTAAGGTCCACTTTGAACCCCGTTCATATTGAAGCCCTAACCTACTATTGTGCTGTTGCTACATCCCTCCTCTTCGGCTGAACCTGAATCCCCCATTTTGAATCCCATCCTGCTGAATCTCCTTTGCTGCTACTGTTTCAGCTAGTTTTTAGCCTCTTCTCCTCCGCTGCTTCTGTTTCCATTGGTTCAGCCATTACTCTGGTTCTTGGACTCTACCCTGGTTCAGCTGGGTTGGGCTCTACTGCAGTACTGCTGGTTCAGATTCTTCTCTTCTGTTCTGTTATTCTACTGCTTCTCTGTTCTGTTTCTCAGTGTTGCTGTTTTTATACCCTTACATATAAGTTTGAAAATTCCCCTCCCCTTCCAATTATAGATACGATCTTGATTTTGACGACCATGGTTACAACAGCTGAAAGCTCACATTGAAATCTTCAAGGTGGCCAATTGGTGGTGGTGGAAGAAACATCAAGATTAACAGCTTTGGATTTTAAAATTCCTCATGAATAAAAAATCAAAATGAAGGCTGAAAAAAGTTGGTTGAACTTCCATAGGCTTCACATCAACATTATTAGTGTTTAATCTCTTCAATTTGCGTAAAGGATCCTGAACTTGATCAGTACTTTTATCAAATTCCCATCCTACCTCTGCTTCCTTTTCTTCGTGATGAATCGTCCTTCACATATAGGACAATGGAATGAAGTTGCTCAAATGCTTTGTCAAAGTTATCTGAAAATCTGAAATTCGGATCTAACCAATTTTGGATATCCCAAATTGGCTCAACTTGAGATTTGCCTTATTCAACTCTGAAAGGAATTTGATCATGATTGCTATAAGATTGGTGTAAATCACAACAATAAGGATCATAATAGCTATCTTCAGTATGTTGTTAGTAGAAATTGGAACCATATTATCTCTACTTATGGAAGGCAAGCTGTTAGCATGATCTCAGACTCTTGTTCCCATAGCATGCAATCTTCTTAGTGCAGGATCATCATATATCTGCATTGTCATTCATTGGGATCTCATACTCTTCCTTGGTGAGTTCCAGGTCTTACCTTCACTGCTATGGAGAAACCATAAACTACCACCTCTATAGGTATCATGCTGCTTATCTTAGTCAAAATTGTGATTCCCATCATAGAATTGTACATACAATTCTGCACGTTCCTCTGACCGCGCAATCCCTTTTCTACCTATGAACATGTTTTGGTGGGATCACTCATGAATCAAGTGTTAGCATGCAAAAAATTGCCATGAAATGTGCATTTCCTGTGAGTTGCAAGCTTCTGTTGAAATGTGGTTGTTGGGTCGGGCAGATTCAAAATAACCCACTCCAGCCCTAAAATTCACCCACCCACAGTTGAACAGTGGCATTTTTCATTTACCCACTTAAAAATTAACCTGCTTTAAACCTTCTCCAGCCGAACCCTAATGTTCTTGGAGTGCGACCTCAACTGTACGACCTCATCCGTTCCAAGGCTAGGCTACATGACCTCAGCTTTGCAACCTCATCTGTGCTTGTGCGAATTGAACTGAGCTGTTTCTGGTGGGATTTATCACTTCCCATTCTGGTTCGTGGGGGATCCTATTGGTTATCTCTGCTTTTGACTGGTTTGAGCTGTGCGACATCTGATTGGGTGTTGTTCTTGTCATTTTTTGGTTTTGGGCGTGATCCTAGTGATTCTAATGCACCTGCTGTTACTAGTGCCCTACTGGTTCTGGCAGTGCAAATGTGTTAAGGAAGAATATATACATTCAAATGTAGTTGTGATTTTATTGTTATTATGCCTTATTTGTGTTTATATATATAGGTGGGATCTTCCGTCTCATGTTATTATGCCTTATTTGTGTTTATATATGGCAATAAGCAGTAGGATATCAACACTTCTGAACTGAACTGTATAGTCATTCATCCAAATTTAATAGTCAACACCAAAGACTCCAATTCTCAAAAACAGGAAAAAGGAATTAAAAAACAAACAAACTGGAAAATGAACCCATAATGTTGGAAATATATCTCATTCCTTTTTTCTGTATTTTGGTTTATGAGATGTTTTGTTTTCTCTGCTTCCTTTAACTTTGGATTCCTTGTTATTGATACTTATAAGGTTGTTAAAGAATTAACTTTTCCATATACTCATGCAACATTTTTAAAATTTCCCAAGTGAGGACTGAAACAATCTCCCTCATGCAGTCTGGAAAGTATGGATCTGAAGAATGCTGGAAAGACATTTTCTCATTCCTTGTTGAGACTATGGAGACTGCTGTAAAATCATGGCATCAAACTTCTTCAGTGGATGCCAGAGTTTACTTTCTTCTTGATAAGGAAAAGACACAGACTGATAAGTACTCCCCAATTGTGAACATTGATAAGGTACATATTTTTCCTGTTAAATCTTCGTATAATATATTTATTGTGGTTTCCTTGATTTTTATTATGGTTTCCTGCTTTCCTTTGATTTATGACTATAGAGCTTCATATGCATGCATATTTAGCTGGTCTCTGTTGTTGGCTTGTGATTATGAAGAGGAACTTAATAAAGTTCCCTATATGGCATTCTGATTTTTAATCTACTTACATTTGTGTCATCTCATTTACCAGGCCTTTGAATCGCCACATACGCACAGCAACTGCTTTTCATTTCTCAGGCAGTATGCTGAGGAGTCTTTCTCCAAAGCTGCCTGCTTAGTGGCTCCCAAAAGCATCATTGCTTATCCACAGGTAACTTTTGATTTCTTACTGCATTAAATATGAGGGGTGAATCTTCTATAGCAGAAAATCTAGGTGGTTAAGAAACTCCAGTTAACTGTGAAATTTTATTGGAGGTATGGTGTCAGACTTTTGAGGCCGATCACATCTTCAATTAGGGAAGAAAGAGAAATGATATTTGCACACACCTAGCATGCAAGGTGTGTGAAATTTGTATGTACAGAAAGTGCTTAAGTTGATCAGGTTATCAGTTTAGGTGGGCCCGGTGTGAGTGCAGTTCATTCAGATGCTTACATGTCCGTAGGTGTGTCATGAATTTGGTATTGTAGCACTACTTGAAAAGAAAATAGGAAAAGGTCTGTAGTATCGTTCTATTAGTAAAATATTGTAGCCCTTAATAGTTTAGTTTCTTTTGATACACTACATATTCCATGGGTGGTGATGGTGAAAGTGGGGCTGAGGGGAAATGTTTTCTGCCTTGGTTGAAACCAGGTCCTCCCCAGTCCCCTTAAAGGGCTAACAGCCCAAGTGGCATCAATTCCTTTAAATTCGAACTTTCAAAAAATAGACGGTTCTAACAAAAAATTTAAAAAAAGAAAAAGAGAAAGAAAGAAAAGACGGTCAGAAACTTCCCAAGCCTGACCAGGGCTTGGTAGGAAAAAGGGTTTTCGGCCCGTTGCATTGGTAAAGAAAAAAAGGAAATATAAGTAAAACAAATCAAAATAAAGGTCTTGTTTTCCTCCTTCTTTTTTGGGATATCTTGTCGTCTTTCTTTTACTTGATTACTTCCTTATCAATAATATTTCTTTCTCTAGTTTAAATCGCTTTTGCTGGCTAACACCAAAAGTTTTTGGCTGGAGACTAGCTTTATGCTTGCCTTTCCATCTTCTCTTCTCTTCTCCATTTCATTTTTTCAATCTATGTGATTAGCTTATTTTTTGGTGGGTTTGGTTAATACAACAAGTCAACAACAATAAAAATGCCTGTTCCCACTAAGATGTCATTGTTTTGGGGTCAAAAACCAAGTTTCCGGAAGACCATTTATATCTAAGTCCTTTTTTTTTTCTGGTTTCTCTTAACGTAGGTTTGAATTGAGGATTTTGAAGGAAAAGGCGAGGGGAGTGAAGTTTTTATTTTTGAATTAAGATTTAAAAGAGTTACATAGTGTTTATAAAAATGAATAAGGGTTGATTACAAGGTTTTATGATAATCTATGATTTTGTTCCTTTCATTCTAAAAGATTCTTAATTTAGAGAATATTTACTTTAAATGAAAAATTTACCTTCCTTTCCCTTTCCATCCGAAACCCTATGATAGGATACCACCCATGATTAGGGTATACCATAGAAAGGACTATAGAGGATTAGGCCCTTCCCATGTTGGTGTGTGATTGATTTCGTATTTATGAGTGATTGATTATGTAATTATGGGTGATCCTGTATTTATAGGGAATCTGTGATAAATAGGAGAGAAGGGGAAGGTCATTAGGTAGACTATTGATACCAATTGATCGGATTCATTCGGAAAGGAAGAGATAAAAGTAGAAATAAAATAGAATATTGTATTATTAATGACTAATATCGGTATGGAATCAATTAAAAGAGTACGAATAGCATAAAAAAGGAAAGAAACAATGTTCTCGAGCTTTCGAGATATGCGTGATCTCTCCAAATTCTACTTATTCAATAGTCTGCCTAGGGGTGGCAATTTTCAACACGACCCGTTGACATTACACTAACGTGACATGAAAAATTCGTGTTCGGGTCTACACGTTTTCAAATTTTGTGTCGTGTTCGTGTTGGCAAAAATTACCCCAAAAAATGTGTTGTGTCGCGTGTCAACCTGTGAAAATTGACCCTCGTTAATCTTCTTACAGGTTATTCGTGTTGTGTGAATCCGCTTAATAGGTAATATAGTTTGGGGTTGACGGATTATTCTTGTCGTGTCGTGTCAACTAGCAAAATAAGCGGGTCGTGTACGTATCAAAGGTTTTAACCAGATTTCAAGTTCGTGTCGACTGCATTCGTGTTCGTGTCATGTCGTGTTGACCCGAATTGCCACCCCTAGTGTATGCCTAATAACCTCCACCTTCTCCGCTATTCATATATATCCCCATAAATACAATATCAATCACCCATAATTACAGAATCAATCACTCATAAATCGACCCCATAAATACAGGATCATCACCCACAATTGCATAATCAATCACCAATAGATTGACCCCTAAATACAGAATCAATCATCCATACTTACAGAATCAACCACCTCTAATAAAATTAATCACACACTCAGCATGGGATGAGCTTAATCCTCTACAGCCCTTCCTAATGTGCATCCTCGTCATGGGTGGTATTCTATCACCCCCATCCCTAACATCCCCTTGGAGTTTTCCTTTGGGCTATGTTCCATTTGATTAATTGTTATTGGGATCTTATTGGTTCTCTACTAGGCCATAGGCGTGTTAATATCACCTACATTTTACCTGTTATTCATTTGATCATGTAAAGAATGGGCTAGCTGGTCAATATCCCTTTTCAACAGATCAGCTCTACAAACTGAGATCCGTATTTATTTTAGGTTATTTGTGTGGTTAAGATTGACTGCCCATCTGCTCATTCATTTAGAATTGCAGAGTCTAAATCACTGCAGATATCTTAAATGACAATCTTTTTTCTGCAGGTCTGGAAAGGCCAAGGATCAAGGAAGTGGAAACATGTGCAGAATGATGGCTTCTTTGTTCAATTTGAGTCACCTTCCCTGCGAAAGCTGTGGTTTATTCCCAGTACGAATGAAAAGGGACATACATTGTGCAGGTTTCTCTCTCACCCGCTCTTGCATGTATTTATTTACTGAATATAATTCTTGTTATTTATGGTGAGTAATAATGTGAGGATAGATGCTTGTAGTAATGGTTTCTATAATCAGCCTTTTCTTATTATTTACTAATTATTATTTCTGTTCTAACTGGAAATATGTGGAAAATATGCTAAACGGATTTATTTATACCTAGTTACTCTTTCTTTTTCCTTTTCTTCGGGGTGGGTGCAGAGGAGTTATTGGAAGGGCAGTTGGGGGACGATTTTAAGTATCTACAAGAAGGAACATTCTCCTTCATAATCAGCTTGTTTGGAAATTTGAAAGATTATTCTCCATCAGGCTTTTTTGTTGTTGTGTAAATACCCTTTTTGGTCCTCAGCAAATTTCACGATGCCCGTTTTAGTCCCTAGCAAATAAAAAGGCCCATCGTGGTCCCTAAGAAATTCAAAATGGATCCATTTAGTTGAAATTGTGGTCCCTCACAAATTCAAAAAAGACCCATATTAGTCCCTAAAAGGACTAAAATGGGTCCATTTTGAATTTTTTAGGGACCACGATGAGCATTTTTATTTGCTAGGGACTAAAGCGGGTATCGTAAAATTTGTTGAGGACCAAAAAGAGTATTTACTCTTCTTTTTTTTTAAGTTTCCTAGGGCTATTCTCACCTATTTGGATGAGACTAATCCCCTTTGTCGCGTAGAGCGTAAGGGTTTTTACCACTGGCCCCAAAGTGCTTCGCCTAGGATTCGAACCCTTGACTTTTCAGTCACAAGATCCCTCCTTGGGCACAGCTTACCAACTGTGCCACACCTTGGGGTTACCATATCAGGCTTTTTAAAGTGTATTCAGAAAGTCATAAGTTGCCATAATGTACTTCCATTCCAAAGGAAGCATAGATTTTATTAACCTTTTCATGTGCATGAAATGGAAGAATCAAATTCACTTATAAAATCTTGTTAAAAGAGTCACCCCAATAATAAAAAAATCTTGTTAAAAGAAGATGCTCTCCGGGTTCATGATGCACAGCATACCTGTTTGTATTGACTGAAAATGTTTAGTAACTTTGGAACAGAACTTCTCGTAGGGAATCTTTCAACTGGTGATTCTTGATATCACAACGTAAATTGGTTTTGCTTTCATCATAGCCTTGTGGTGCGTAGATGTTGTGCTCAAAAGATTTTTTTGCCTAAATTTTGTGTAATGCCTATTCAAAGGATCCTAACATGTACTTACTTAATGCTGAAGCTTGCTCGGATAGTTTTATACTTCTAGTATCTCCTAACAAATAACAATTATTAGCATGAAAAGTTTGCTGTTACATACTCTTAGTTATGTGCCTTAAGGCATCCTTGTACTCAACTTTATGGTTATATAAACTTAGTTAGAGATTTGAAACTAATTTGTATTTGTTATATTCAGGGACCCAGAGGTTTTGGACATTGGTGCTCATGAAATTCTTCCCCGCTTATTCAAATAAAAGATGACCCGTTCTTAGTGTACTTGTATTTAGCCTATATTTCATAAGGTAAAAAATGACAGGCTCACAGGAAGGTTTTTTTTTGTCCAATATGGGCAAAATTTGGTGCCTATGTTTTATTGGCTTCTCGGAATGTGAAAAATGCTGGCAAGATGTGCTTTATTTTTTTGTTTTTGTTTTTATAAAATTTTGTATTATCCAAGCCTTCAAGGAGTTGTATTTTGGGCAATTGTTTTTATTGCATGATTGCTCTTTAATCTTCATCTTTTCTCGTGATTAGGAGACTTTGGTCTTTAGTTTGTTTATTACAGATATGAGGCTTCTATATTGCCAAGAAAAAGTATGTGGAAGTATTTGGTATTAGATGTCTTAACCAAGACTTCTATATACTTTTTGTTTGTACTTTCATGAATTTTCTGATGATGCTTGGATAAGCTTACATTATGACCTATCTGTAGTTCAGTTGAAAAAACCACTGGATGTTGGTAGCTTTTAATTACCTGGAATTAATTGTCGAAGGTTCTTACTTTTGATTCATTATGTTCAGAATTGATCAATGAATTCTCTGTGCTCGAATAATCAGAATGTTGGGGCTGAAATGTCTCTGATTCGATTTCTAGGCAAAGCAACTTGGGGTTTGTGGCAAAAAGTTTTGTGCTCTATGTCACGAAAGAGATTAGTTTTATCCAAATGGGTCTGAATAAAACTGGAAATCGAAAAAAAAAAAAAAAAAAAAAGATTTCAGAATGTAACAGAATTGCAGAGGAGCTTTAAGAAGTTCAGGTTGTGTTGAAACTAGTAGTTTAATGCCCAAATTGTGATAAGGGTTTTGTCATTTTAACACCCCAGAGTTGCATTCTTTGATAGTGGGATTGAAACATACGATTGAATCAACATAGGGGCAACTTGCAAGTGCTTGACGAAAATTCTCATGTGCTTCAACTACTACCAGTGGCAGTGTACTGAAGTCATTGAAGTTGCATTATGAATTGGGAATACTGATCATAGGGTCCTGTTTACCATGAATTATGATGAAGGATCACATAATCACTCTTAAGTGTTAATTTGGTACTTCAATATATTGTGTGACAAAGAGTTCCTCTAATTTTTCCTTTGTAAATAAGAGTTGATTCAGATGCACTTTGTGAAAAAAAAAAAACGATAGACTAAAGATGTTTCGTTCATGTTGTTGGGATATATTAAAACAAAAAAAGAATATGAGAGTGGAAAATTTAGGTCCTGTTTGAATACTGTTGTTTATAACAGTTTTTTGATTTTTAGAACAAAATAACTTGTTTGGTAAGGGTTATTTTGTTAAAAAAAAGATTTAAAAATTGTAACTGTTTTTGTTTTTAGAATCAAATAATTTTTTTTTTCACAAAACAAATAGTATCAAACAAGTTTTTTTTAAAAAAAATATTAGAATTTTTTTTTGTAAAATCGAAATCAATCACACCCTATATTGAGTTGTTTTTGTTTGTGTTTTGACTTTTAACTTTCAAAAAAAATAAAAAATAAAGGGCAATTATATTTATTATTGAAAATTTTTACAACTCTTACAACTAAACTAATTATCATTGATTTTCGTCAATCTAAATATTGTAATTTATTGAGTACACTTATTAAATAATTATTAGTTCTTAATAAATTATAATCGTTAGATTGACGGAATTCAACGGTAATTAGTTTAGTAGTAAGAGTTGTAAAACTTTTCGATAATAAGTATAACCTCTTTCTATATAAAAAACACATGTTTGCATAAATATTCTACAAAGCAATTTAAAAAAAAAAATAAGAATACAATCAAACATATCCTTAGTTTTTACAATAGAGGTAAATGAAATGAAATGAGTGAGTGTTGTATGAGCTGTGAGGTTTTTGTTTGGCTTTTAGAACTTCTGAACCAACTCAGCTTAATTAGCACTGTAACACCCCGTTCTATAACCAGTTTGTTATAATTGCTTTATGATATTAAACATAGTTACAATCACATTGGTTCAATTAAAAACCCGGGTAGATTTTTCTTTTTTTGTTGTTGTAAAAACTTGCTTATTTTCCTTTTGAATAACCCGAATTTAAAATAAACAATCGCGTGACTATAACTGTATGATATTGCGGAATAAATGAAACTTAAGCTTAACATCATACTCTTATTTTGTTCAAGTTCAATACTAAACTATCTGCTCTTTTTATTAAATTGGGAATTCTATACTTTCTTTGTAGTTCGCATCTCCCATTATGTTATAGATCTCTCTGTTAGCTTCGCGTGGGTTCAAACCGTGCTCAAATCGGATATATGTAGCTCATGTTATGCTAATTTTACTAAACTATGTTCATGCTGTTTTTGGGATTCGCGCTCGAGCGCTCAACTAGGCGCTTGAGCGCCCAAAGGCAGCAAATTTTGCCATCTTCAGGTCTTTCAACGCGCTTGGGCCCGCACCAGTGCGCTTGAGTGCCCAAATCAGCGCTTGAGCGCCAAGAGGCAGTGAATTTCACTTTATTTCATGCATATAGCACGCTTAAGCGCCCAAATCAGCGCTTGAGCATCCTACACCTGGGGCAGACTTGGTTTCCCCTGCTTTCGGATAGTTTCTTGGGGAAATTTCATTCCCCTTTCATTCTTCAAGAGTTACAACACCTAATTGACAAGGAAAGGCCAACCATGGTCGCACACCATGTGGCACCTACATCCCATAAATACTTTACAAATTCATCATGCAAATCGAAATGATAACATAACTACATATTCATCAATACATTAAAGTCTCAATTACATCAATGTTCTTCTAAATTTCATATACATGCTAAAGGACTTAGCTACAAAAGGAACATGACCAAAGCCATTAGCCATATACAACAAGGCATTCACCACTACAATGATCATGCACTAAGTCTCCCAAAATACATCATGTGTCTTCAAAATATACATATACATATGGCTATGTAAATGACATATACATCTACAATCCTAGATAAGATTCAATCCAAAATGACAGGCTATAAACATAAGACCATCTAGTCCAAATACAGCCACTTGCCAACAGAGGCTCCTGCAGCATCTGTACCTGAAAGGTGGTAACCACAACACGGGGTGAGATATACGAATACATCTCAGTAAACCAGGGGTCCTTAGAGCATCTCTCCACCCCATAGTTCACTTCACAGTATAATAGCAATAACAGTAATTATGCAGTAAATACATATCCATGCAGTGTGCAATATATCTCGAGGAGACATCCCTCGAGCTCTTGCTGTCCTAAGAATACTCAGATGCAAATAGTTTTACTGATCAGAGAATCTACCAAGTATGATTTATGCATCGTCATGCAACATACCAACATATGGAAACACCATACGTATAACAAAACATTAAACTACTTTATTGCATTTATATACACTATCAACAACCACTACCCATTCAGGGCTTGGTGGAACAATAAAGGGATTTAGGGTGTGCATGACAACCATTCTGTTCCTTGGCACTGTTTTTGAAAAGAAACAATTCTTTTCTATTTATGTTCCTTGGAACCGTTTTTGAGAAAAAAATGTGTTTGATAACATGTTCTATTTTTATTCTGCGAAGAGAATTGTATTCGATAACACAATAAATAATATAATAAAAAATAATTCCTATTAAGGATAATTTTTTTTCGGATTATCACTTTTCTTTCAATATGGTGGCGGCGGCAATGGCAGCGTGGTGGTGGAGGCAGTGATGGTACTGATGGTAGTGGCTGCGGCGATGGTGGTGGTAATGGTGGCGATGGTGGTGGTGGTAGTGGTGGTGGTGGTGGTTGGTGGCAATGGTGGTGGTAGTGGTGGCATGGTTGTGTTGGTGATGACATGGTGGTGGTGGTGACGGTAGAGGCTGCGGCGATGGTGGTGGTGGCGTGGTGGCAGTGGCGATGATGTGGTGGTGATCATGGTAGCGGCAGTGGTGGTGGTGGTGGTAATGACGACAGTGGTTGCGACAATGATGGTGGTGATGGTAGTGGCGGTGGTGGTAGTGACGGTGGTGATGGCAGTGGCTGCGACGATGGTGGCGGTGGTGACATAGTGGTGGTGGTTATGGAAGTGGCTGCAGTGGTGGTTGGTGACGGTGGCGTGGTGGCAGTGGTGATGGGCATGGTGGTGGTGGTGATGGTAGTGGCTTCAACGATGGTAGTGGTGGTTGGTGACAGTGGTGAAAATGGTGGCGTCATGGTGGTGGTAGTGGTGGCGATGGTAGTTGTGGTAGCGGCATGGTGGTGATGGTGACAGTAGTGGCTGCGATGGTAGTGGTGGTGGTGGTAATGATGGTGATGACGGTGTCATGGTTGAGGTGGCAACGATGACATCATCGTGGTGGTGGTAATGATGGTGATGACGGTGTCATGGTTGAGGTGGCAACGATGACATCATCGTGGTGGTGGTGGTGATGGTGGCGGTGGCATCATCATGGTGGTGGTGGTGGTTGTGATGGCGACATTGGTGGTACAATGGTGGGAGAACGATGGTGGCGGTGGTCGTGTCGGGATGATAGTGGTGGAGAGTGATTGAGAGAAATAAGTGTTTCTCATTTTGTTCCCAAGAACAAAAAAACAGAAATTTTTTGATTCTCTTTTCTGTTCCACAACACAAAAATTAAAATGGTTCATCCTAGAAACAAAAAAATAAACCGGTTTTACCAAACGAGTTTTCTATCCATTTCTGTTCTCGGGAAAAGAAATTAAAAAAAAAATTGATTCCAGGAAGGTTGTCATGCACACCCTTACTCCCAAGGTCCGAAGGCTGACCTCAATGCTTCCAATTTAACCTTTGTTCACCAACAAGTTTGCAACCAATCAAACTCTGAATTCAAGCTACAAACTTGCAAAATACACACCTACTCCAAGGTGTTACACAATCAAATAATACAAGTTAATGAATATCAACATATTCATCAACAAAACAACAATTCCACACCACAACTTGACATGAACTTACCTATCCAAATAAGCTAATCAAGCTCCATAGCTTGCTCCAATGTGTGGTCACTCAAAGTTGGTCCACTTGCCTCAATCCTAGCAACACAAGGGACACAATCAATCATCTAACTCATTAATTGCTCAAAATGTTAGAACACTCACAAGCCCAAGCATGAATTTCCCAATATATTGGACACTAACCAAATGACTATCTAAACTCATTTCTACAGTTTATTTATCATTTCTAACAACTTTTACAAAGGGCTTAAGATTCAATCAAGCTCTAAACTAACCCATTATTCATGCATTTTCTTAAAACAAAACCCTAATGCACATATCTTCTAAAATGACATCAAGAGTTGGAGTTCTTACCACAAATACAACACCAAGGGTGTAAGGAAGAGGTACCAAGCTCAAGGAACCAAGACTTCACCTCTAGCTCCACTATCTCCAAAGTTTCGCCCCTCCCACCAAGAATATCTCACTCCACAATGGCTCCCACTCAAAAATATGCTGGGATTAAGGATGAGGGGGGAAATTTGAAGTGGTTTAGGCTTTGGAATGGAAGGATTTGAGTAAGAAATGGAAGAGTTATGGTTTAGAGCTTAACATCCATGGCTTCTCACCCTCCCCTCCACGGTTTGTGTTGCTGGAAGAAAAAGAAGAAATGGGATTGGGTTTTGGTTTTTTGCACTTATCAAAGGTTAAGTTATCTTAACTGGGTATCAGCTCATCTATCTAGTTAACTCCGTTCTCTTTCAAACTTTACCCAAAGGTATGGAATATTTTTATAGGAATATTTCTAATTTTACTTTTATATTTTGGGTACTTTTGCCTACACCCATTTTTATCCCATAATTTTCACTGACTGCACTTTTCATCTCAAAAGTGACTCTAAGTCATTTAATTAGATATTTTACCTAATTTAACTCACTAATACAAGATTAATTGCCTAATTACATGCAATTAATTATATCTCATGGTAAGGGATATTTTAATCACCCCACCTTTTAGCGATTTTGTCCGTAAAATCAAGAATACACATATCCTTAAACTCAAGATACTGTCGGAGAAGCTCGTCCTTCCGCTCCCAAGTGGACTTTTCAGGCATCCTTCCTTCCCACTGGACTTTTACCATAGGAATGGATTTATTTCTCAACCTTTTCTCATCTCTTTCGAGTATCTTCAGTGGCCCAACAAGAGTTTTCAAATTTTTCTGAATCTCAACATCATCAGGTTGAACCACATGAGAATGATCAGCTACATACTTCCTCAACTGAGAAACATGGAATAAATCGTGCAAGTTTGATAATTGATAAGGCAAGGCAAGCTGGTAGGCAACCAGTCCTACCCTACGTAGAATCTTGTAAGGTCCAATAAATCTCAGACTTAGCTTCCTCACTCCTAGGGCTCGTCCAACACCCATAACCGGCGACAACTTTAAAAACACATGATCTCCCTCCTCAAACTCTAGAGGCTGATGCTTGAGATCATAATAACTCTTTTGGCGACCTTGAGTCTTTTTCAGACAATCTCTAATCATTTTAATCTGGTCAGTGGTCTCCTGAACAAAATCCAATCCAAATCGCTCTGTGTCCCCAACCTCTGACCAACAAGTAGGTGTCCTACACCGGCGACCATACAAGGCATCGTAGGGAGCCATACCCAGACTAGCATGGAAACTATTATTATATAAAAACTCAACCAGCGGGAGATATCGATCACATGCAGTACCCTGCTCCAGGGTGCAAGCCCGCAACATATCCTCCAACGTCTGAATGGTCCTCTCAGTCTGACCATCCGTCTGTGGATGATAGGCAATGCTTAGTCTCAACTGAGTTCCAAAAGCCTCCTGTAATGCTCCCCAAAAGCGAGAAGTGAACTTCGGATCCCGATCACTAACAATGCTCTCGGGCACCCCATGAAGCCTCACAATCTCCTTCACAGAGCCTAGCTAATCTTTCAGCAGAGAAATCTACCCGAACTGGCAAAAAGTGTGCGGACTTTGTCAATCTATCCACAATCACCCATATAGAATCATAACTAGCATGTGTCCACGGTAATCCCACTACGAAATCTATGGAGATACTCTTCCATTTCCATTCAGGAACATCCAGAGGTTGCAACATACCAAAAGGCTTTTGATGCTCAATCTTGACCTTCTGACATACGAGACACTTAGAGACGTATTCCGCAATATCTTTCTTCATAGTAGGCCACCAGAAATTAATCCTTAGGTCTTGATACATCTTTGTAGCTCCCGTATGGACAGTGAATTGACCCTTATGGGCTTCTGTCATCACTTCCTCCGCCAACTGCCTAGGTACAACAATACGACCCTGATATAATAGTATACCCTGATCATTGCAGGATACACCACTATGACCTTTCAGTCGTTTAGCACTTTCATTTTGCAGTTGAGCTTCTTTAATTCTGGTCAGCATTTCATTTTCAACTCTTGTAATTTCGATGACACAAATTCTACCTGGAAAGACTTCAGATAACTTCATATCTCTGAACCTCTCAATCACATCATAATCTCTCATCATCATGCTCGCTATGCTCACAGATTTTTGGCTCAATGCATCAGCTACAACATTAGCCTTGCCAGGATGATATTTCAATTCAAAGTCATAGTCCTTTAGGAACTCAGTTCACCGCCGTTGTCTCATATTCAATTCTTTTTGATCAAACAAATACTTCAAACTCTTGTGGTCACTAAATACGACAAATTTCATTCCATACAAGAAATGCCTCCACTGTTTCAACCCAAAAACGATTACAGCAAGCTCCAAGTCGTGAGTCAGATAGTTTTCTTTATGAAGTTTCAGCTGCTTTGATGCATATGCCACTACTCATTTATCTTGCATCAGCACACATCCCAATCCCTTTTTAGAAGCATCACTGTATAACTCAAATTCACCTTCTGGATCAGGAAGTACTAACACTGGAGCAGTCGTCAATTTCTCCTTAAGATTCTAGAAACATTCTTCGCATTCATGCATCCAAATAAATGGAATATCCTTTCGAGTCAAACGGGTCAATGGCAAAACCATCGCAGAAAACTCTTTGATAAATCTCCGATAGTAACCGGCCAAACCTAGAAAACTCCTTACTTCAGTCACAGTCTTGGGTCTCTCCCAATCAATAATTGCCTCTATCTTGCTAGGATCAACTGCCACTCCATCAGCAGAAATGACGTGACCCAAGAATTGCACTTGAGAAAGCCAAAATTCACATTTTGAAGGCTTTGCATACAACTATTTCTCTCTAAGAATTTGCAACACAGTTCTCAAGTGATCTGCATGTTATTCGTTACTCTTGGAGTATATCAGGTATCGTCAATAAACACGATCACAAATTGATCCAGAAACGGCTTAAAAATACGATTCATATAATCCATAAACACCGTCGGAGCATTAGTGAGTCCAAATAGAATTACCCGGTACTCATAATGTCCGTATCTAGATTGAAAAGCAGTCTTCGGAATATCTTCATGCTTAATTCGGATTTGATGATAACCCAACCTCAAATCAATTTTTGAAAAGACACAAGCACCGCTCAACTGATCAAGCAAGTCATCTATGCGAGGGAGAGGATACTTGTTCTTAATAGTAACCTTATTCAACTGACGATAATCAGTGTGTAATCTCAGGCTACCGTCCTTCTTCTTGACAAATATAACTGGTGCTCCCCACGGGGACACACTAGGCCTGATAAACTGCTTAGCCAAAAGCTCCTCAATATCCTTCTTTAACTCGGCTAATTCCGGTGGTGACATCCGATATGGAGCCAAGGAAATAGGCCCCACACCAGGCAATAAATCAATCGTGAACTCAATCTCTCTAGGACGTAGAAGTTGCAGAATCTCATCCGAAAACACATCCACAAACTCCTTCACCACGGAAATAATGTCGATCTCCTCATGACTTCCACCCACTAAACCTCCCACAAGACATATCCCAATGCCTCGGCCCTCAAATCCTTTCTAACCTGCAACACAGATAGATATGGGGAAAAACTAGTAGCAGAATCATCAGCAGAAAGCACAATCCTTTTTCCACAGCAGTCTATCATAGCATAGTTCTTCGACAACCAGTCCATTCCCAAGATAACTTGAAGACTGATCATAGGCAAACAAATAAAATCCAGCACGTAGTCTCGACCTTCATATTTAAATTCAACATCCTTGCATAAAACTGATGTATAACACTTTTCTCTAGTAGCAGTCACCACTTTCATTGGAGGAGAAATTTTGCACATATGTAAATTTAGCCCAACGGCCATAAAATCAGACATACAGGAGTGTGTAGCTCCTGAGTCAAACAAGACTTCAATATCCATATTATCAATATAAATTGTACCTTTCACAAGGTTTGGAGCCTTTTCTGATTGCTGACGGTCCGTGGTGTATACTCTACCAAAAGTCTGGGACTCTATCATAGCTGGAACAACCGAAACAGGAACAACAGTAGCCTGAACTGTCATGGTCCTCACTTCATTTTGAGGGCACTGCCTAGAGTAATGGCCGGATCTTCCACACTTATAGCAAATAATTTCACCGGTAGCACACGGACCTGGATGCTCTTTTCTGCATCCTCTACACTTTGGAGGAGGTCTTCTATCAACAAAACTCTTTTGGTTTCCGGGCTTCTTGAATATATCGAGTGGATTAGTCGCACTCAGCTTCTTACCCTTCATTTGCTTGTTTTTCCAAGAATTTGAGTCAATTGCTCTACTTGCATTGGATGCCTGTGCCTCAGAAGACTTCTTGGTCTTAGTCACATTATAAACTTCTTCCACCTTCTGGCATTGGTTCACAAATTTGCTGAACTCACAGATATCACAATTAGACATCTTCTGAGACATTTTCTCATTCAGACCCCTTTGAAATTTGGAGGTCATCTCGGCTGAAGTAGGTAAGGCTCTCCCGTAATTAGTATATTTCACCAATTCAGTGAACTTGGCAAAATATTGGTCAATTGTCATCGACCCTTGCTTCAAATCATTGTACTCATTCTTCTTCCTTTCCCTAGCCTCCCTAGGAAAGTAGTTATTCAAGAACAAGGTCTCAAACAACTGCCAGGTGATTTCCTGGCCTTCAGCCTCCAAGGATTGCACGGTGTTAGTCCACCAATCTTCGGCTTCACCTTCCAGCATATACACCGAGTAAACCAACTTCAATGCATCAGGGCATCTCATCACCCTAAAAATCTTCTCCATAGCCTGAAGCCATTTAGCAACAATCAACATATCATAGCCGCCAGTGAAGGATGGAGGTTTGTGTTTTCGAAAAGCAGTCAATCGCCTTTCATCCTTATCTGGCCCACCAACATGTTCTACATGTGGTTGATGAACTACAATATGATGACTAGAGCCATCATCATAGTGACTAGCCTCACCATCATCGTTACCAGCTCCACCCTCTTCATGGAGAGTATGTGGTAGTAGGCGTTGCAGTGTGAGGAGGAGGAGTGGGTGGTCGGTCCTCATGTCTAGCACTCCTCAACTCATTCATCATCGCGGTCATAGCATTCCGCGCATCTTCATTCGTCTTCATTAAGTTCTCATTAGCTTGACGACTAGCAATCAACTCCCTTTGCACTGCTGCCAGAGTGTCCGCCACAGGATCAGACTATCCACCTGTTACCCCACGACCACTTCGGGGTCTAACTAAAGCAGCCAAAACAGGATCTGGCAGAGCATTGGCAGTCGATGCCTCAGGGTTATTCTGATTTCTCGTCATGACACTACACATGTTACATAAAGAAATGAGCTGATCAGGCTCACACTCAGTGATCACAGATGCAATAATCATAAAGAGTACCAAAACAACTATAAAGCATTAAACACCAAGCAAACATAACAATAATCCATAAGTTTCCCTAAAAAACTGCTCTGATACCATAAAATGTAACACCCGAATCGATTTGTTATCATTGCTTTATGATATTAAGCGCAGTTACAATCACATTGGTTCAATCAGAAACCCGGGTAGATTTTTCTTATTCTTTTTAAAACTTACTTATTTTCCTTTTGAATAACCCAAATTTAAAATAAACAGTGTGACTATAACTGTATGATATTGCGGAATAAATGAAACTTAAGCTTAACATCATACTCTTATTTTGTTCAAGTTCAATACTAAACTATCTGCTCTTTTTATTAAATTGGGAATTCTATACTTTCTTTATAGTTATCATCTCCTATTATGTTATAGATCTCTCTGTTAGCTTCGCGTGGGTTCAAACCGCGCTCAAATCGGAGATCTGTAGCTCAAGTTATGCTAATTTTACTAAACTATGTTCTTGTTGTTTTTGGGATGCGCGCTCGAGCGCAAAACTGGGCGCTCGAGCGCCCAAAGGCAGCGAATTTTGCCATTTTCAGGTCTTTCAACGCTTGGGCGCGCACTAGCGCGCTTGAGCGCCCAAATCAGCGCTTAAGCGCCCTACTTGGCGCTTGAAGAAGAAGAAGAAATGGGATTGGGTTTGGGTTTTTTTGCACTTATGAAATGTTAAGTTATCTCAACTGGGTATCAACTCATCTATCTAGTTAACTCTGTTCTCTTTCAAACTTTACCCAAAAGTCTGGACTATTTTTCTAGGAACATTTCTAATTTTACTTTTATATTTTGGGTACTTTTGCCTATACCTATTTTTACTCCATAATTTTCACTGAGTGCACTTTTCACCTCAAAAGTGGCTCTAAGTCATTTAATTAGATATCTTACCTAATTTAACCCACTAATACACGATTAATTGCCTAATTACATGCAATTAATTACATCTCATGGTGAGAGATATTATAAGCACAACCCATACTTTGTCCATAACATATCATACAGAAAAGTAATCTAGTATTAATTGGTGGTATTTTGAAAATTTAGATTCAAAGTTAAGGAATTGAGTTAAAAGAACATTTATTAGTGGACCTATACCCATGGTTAGTCAAATTTGTAATTGCATGACAACTAGTTGATTTTATGCTCACGAATACTATGATTTGAATTCAAAATTAGGATTCCTCGGGTCACTCTCTAATCTTATTATAAATCAACTATACGGTTAATGATTTTCCTTAATCTTAGAATGAAAGATTATTTCCTCACCTTTAACTTTGGTTCCCAAAAAAGGGAGCCAAATAATCAATCTTAGCAATTTCATTCAAAAGGTTTCACTTTTATCTTCAAAAGTACTGGGCTTAAAAGTATCATTGGGTTGATTAGGAATATTGATTTTGATGAAATACTCGAAGAAGAATGATCTTGAAAAAGCTCTCTCTTCTCTTTTAATAAAAAACACTATTTAATGGGGAAGAATATTGTAACAACTAATTAGTGTTACTACTAATGTTACTACTAGTCAATTTCACCATTAGATCGATTATGTTGATCTTACAGTTATATTTATTTCTAATTTTGTATGGTTATGATTTTTCATATTTAATATTTTATATTTATTTTTACCTTTGTATGGTTATGATTTTTCATATTTAATGCTTTCACATTAAATACGGGGAATCATAACCATACAAAGATGGAAATAAATATAACCGTTGGATCAACATAATCGATCTAACGGTGAAATTGATTGGTAGTAACATTAATTGGTTGTTACAATATCCTACCCCTTTTTTAATTAAAAAAAAAATTAGAACACCCTGAGCCTAGGTTAATCCTAAAGCCAAAATAAATGGAGTTTAGACTCTGGCATTGAATCCCAATTTGAGCTTAAGATTGAATATGGATCTCATCTTCTTATGAATCTTCTTATGAGTCTTTGTTTTTGGCAATAATAAGATTGTGATCATTATCTTTGCTTATCCTGGATTTAAGTTATCATTATTTCCTCTTTTTTGCATTTCAAAATTATTATCTGCTTATATGTTATATCTTGTACTTCTCGTAAAACATCATTCCTCAAGTCTCTATTTTCCACATAAAAAAGAAAGATCAGGTATAGAAAGTCCTCCGTATTCAAAATGTGAGCATTGTGGGAGAAAAATTGCTGATAGGAAATGTGCCACTTGGTAAACTTTATACAGTTCATAAACCGTTAAAATGCTTTCTCACAGTGTAGTACACAGACATGTCACAAGACAATGAACAGAAGAAGAAGCTCTTCAAAAATGGACTTCAATTAAATCCCATGCAAGGACTCTGGATTTGTAGAGGCAGAGTTTGTTATTTGTTTTGAAGTCTAAAAGGAAAAGAAGAACTCTAGAATTTTGGAGTTCCTCAAAACTTGGTACCCTTTGCTTTATTGGAAGGTGCATTTCAGAACCTATGTCCATGAGGCTGCAGCCAAAACAAGCAATGATAAAACCTGATCAGATCCTATAATATTACCAAAAAGAGGTAGGTTATACTTATAACCTCTTACAACCACTTCGTTATTGTTGGATAAAAATAAATCAACAGTTCTCACTCGATGTCATTTTATAACCGTTAATTTAATTTTAATCTAATGATAATGAAAATGGTTTGAGGGCAAACCTGGAGCAGTGAATAAGGGTTCGAATATGAGAAACAACCTCTTTGCAATTATGCAAGGGTAAGACTGCGTATAAAAATTGTTCTCATCCCATGCTCGCTAGTAAGGGTTTAATGGAGAGTAATAGATAACGAAAATGGTTGTAAGAAAAAAAATATTATAAATATAACCTCCCTCTGCCAAAAAAAAAAAAAAGTGACTTATCCTTTTTTTTAATAATTACTAAACTGTAGTTCTTGTTTTACTCTATCATTCAGCTGTATGGTAAAAGCATGTCAATATGAGAATGGTAAGTACTCACATCATATGAAGCAAGTGATCCGCAGTAATTAGAGTTTGTGAGCACTGTACTTGTAGAGCCACACTCACTGTCTCTGAGTGAAACTGAGGACCTGTCAAGCTTTATTGACCATGGATATTGATAGTTTTGGGTAGTGACACCTACATGTGAAGATGACCTTTGCATCCTCACTGGCCTTGGAACATTTCTTTCTCCCACTGAAACTCTTCTCCTGCTCGGTTGCCTCTCATATGAGTCTGGCCTTTGCTTTGGTGCACTATGTGATCTAACTTTGGCCCTTGAAGATTCTGTGTTAGCCATGTAGTTTGGGAATAAAGGGTAGTCATAGGACATGGATTCTGCATAGGATGGTCTAGGGAAAGCAAAAGGAAGCTTTGAATCCTCTACTCTTGACACATCAGAATAGTAATGAGGAGTGCTTTGTGCTGTGCTGAAGGAACAATCCTCAAAATGCCCACTACATGCTCTTGGACTCAACTCTGTCAATGCTGATGGTGCAGGTGATACCTTGTGGTTTTCTTCCTTTGAATATGAACCATTTGATGAATAATATGTAGAAAATCTATGCTCAGACAATTCACAATGTCCATAATTTGCAGTGTTGTTTCTGCCTCTTGAGTTACCATCGGATTCACAAACATCTATTTCCACAATCTTGGTATTCTCTTCTAATCCTCTGTCCATTTCCTAGATGAGCAAAAACCACATTTTATATCAATGACAAGAAAAGCCTTTATATTTTGCTTTGCCTTTTCTTTTTATTTGGCTAGACTAGATAATTTTTATGTTTTCAAATTCACCATTTTTCTCCTCTTGCTTTTGCAGGAAATTCACCCAAATGAAGCAACTTTATTGCATGAGTTGAATAGTATCAAGTCTATATTCGTTTATAATGTGTGTCTTTATAGAATGCTTCACCAATTAATTCAAGGCGAAACTTTATCATTTTCTTTCCCTATAAAGCTTCTATACTAACTGAAAAGATCAATGATTATCATTCCTCAGATAATTGACCATCATCTATATATACAGCTAATCAGAAAATTTTCGTTTACCAATATTCATTGGTTCACGTGGTAAGGAGCTTGTTACCCTTAACTAGAGGTCACGAGTCCGAGTCCCTAGGAATGGAGAATATGGTCCTGGGAGAGCCGCTCACTATAATGGGTCCGATAGTACTCCAACAGAACTAATTGGGTAATCGATGAATTGGTGGATATATAAAAAAAAAAAAAAAAAAAATTCGTTTAAAATTTCAACTATCATTCTACAATCTAGAAAGGTAGCTGGCAGCAGTTATTGAACTCACATTGTAGATATTCATGAATAAATTGTCCTCGGTGGTTTTTCTGTAGGGTGATTGCTTTTGATTGTGTTTTCCTTCTGATACCATTCGAGCCTTCTGAGCGCGAGCTCTAGCTTGTGCTATGACCAAAGCCTGCATGCATCTTAGTGTCTCAGTGGCCTGTTTTCTCACCAAGCGACCCCTTACTAGTGCCTGCAACTTTACTATTCCTCTAAGAGCACACAGTGCCTTTCTTGCCTGTTAAAGAAACATTGAAATATTTAACATTTGTTAGGGATAAAGATAAGGATGTGAAAATGACATTCCATCAAAGATAACTGATTCTGACACTGACTCATGATATCAGAGCAGAGTTAGAATCAGATATTCCTAACATATTAGGGATACCTGATTCCGATTCTGACACTGACCCGTGGTATCATACCAGTGTCAGAGTTAGATATCCCTGATATGATGGGACGTGATTTCTACAATTAGTCAGAATTTAAATCAAAACTTGATATTCCTAATATGATAGGAACATGATTTCCACATCTTTATCCTTATCCCTGATACATATTCACATACATACCAACATTAGTCCCATGAGAATAAAAGAGAAAACTAGCTTCCCATAATGTTACATACCAAGTAGGACCTAAACACAGATTGAATTCTAATGGCAGAAGCCTCTTCAATACTTGTAGTAGTTACATTGAAACTAGAAGTCAAGAAGATCACAGCATCAGTTGTGGAAGCAGACACAGTCATGGCATGCTTCCTTTTATCATTCTCAGCATCTGTGGCAGTTTGCACTGTCACTGAAGCAGTCACACTCGGTTCTGCAAAATTCAATTCCTTGGAAGCTGTTGCTGAAGCTGATGATCTTCGGAAACTCCATCTTCTTTTCTCCTTCTGGGTTGCTGAAATTGGAGTAGTTGGATTATCTGTGCCATTTAACAAACTCAGGTTGGTTGCACATTTTTCCTTCTCTTTTTCTTTGTCTTTCTTCCCTGTCAAAAAGTTTCTAAGCCATTTTCCTGTCTTCCCCATCTCTGTCAAAACATGGATAGTATCAACAACTTTATAAGAAAAGTAACAAATGAAAAGTAGATCTCTTCATATCTGTGTTTGATAAGTTGCTTTCAATACTATGGTCCCCTTACTAAAAATAGCTAAGCTTTATTGATAGCCTAAACTCACTGTCTCTTTATATGTTTTCTTTATTAACTACCATTATCGGGAATTATTTTCAGTATTATAATCGGTATATCATTATTTAAAAATGGAAAAAAATTAATCTACCTGATACTATTTATTCTACCCTTTTCGCTGGCGGATTCTGGATTTTTTTTATGATAGGGTGAAAATAAAATATCAAAGTTACAAATGTTATTAAGACTAATATGAAAGACTAATTATTACAAGTGTTTATCCAAGTGTTTATCCATTAGTTAATCGATTATTCGACTAGTCTGATTCGAGCTGGATAGGATCACATGGATGACAACTCTATATACCTAGTTTTAACATAGCTGCATGTTAGGGACTTGAACTTGAGTCCATTAATTAAGATGGAACAATCTCTTGCCAATTGATACAGGTGAGAGGAGTTAACTATTATCACCAATAGTCTATTATTATTATTATTATTATTCGCCTCTCCTTTAAGTTTGTCCATGTCTTCTTTATGGTTAATGCCACATAAACTCTACTTTTTTATACTTTAAATAAAAGAAGGGGAAAAAAATCTTATGTTGTAGGAGAATTCTAATCTCATGTTATAGATATAAGTGTGAGACCCACTTATTTAAAAAATACAAAAAACAAAAAAAATGAGTGACACATTTTTTTTACGGTGTGGGTAGGAATGATTTATTTTCTCATGCAACATGAGAAAAACAAATCACATAGAAGAATACCTATAACGGGAGCACTGAAAATATGCTCCATTGGATCGTGTGTGCCATGTCATTAGATAAAACCTGCTTGTGTAAGAATAAACATGGATCCATCGCCTCTATTGAATTTTTTTTTTCTGAGTTCCTTTCATGTTGTCCCCACAAGTAAATAGCGCACTTCTAAGGTTGCTAAGGGTTTTATGGTGATTTCAATTGTCGGTTAATATGAAATGTGTTGGATCAGAAAACCATGTGAAAAATAGATCAACAACAACCAGAATCCTTCTAAAATACTCATATTTTGGTAGGAGAGTTGGCCAGTTGCGGGTCCATTATTATGGGTGTCGTGAAGAAACATAGAAAATTAGAAGACCATAGTATGACCGGGACCACTATTAAGTGTTTTGAGTAGGGGTCATGCGGGTTGCACGTGTCGATTCTCCCCTCAAATCATTGCAAGTGATTTTGTCATCATTTTCAATTAGCTCATTTTATAATTCGAGACTTCGCTAGTACCCATTAGTAAGGGCCACCACTTGTCCCCAATTATTTAAATAGCTAGATTGGTTAGCTTAGGTGGTGACAAAATATACGGATATTAAGTGGTCCATGAACTAAAACTCCGTTGAGTAACAAAAGTACATTCAAGACAAAGACAAAGAAATAAGATAACATTCTGGTTGTAATGGATGGATTTTTCAATTTTAGAAAGGAAAGAAGTGATAAGTGTGAAAGATATTATGTTTCTAGGATAAAAAATAGATTAAATGACGATAAATATGGTCAAAATGCATAGTATATATTATCAAATGCAAAAGACTTTGGAGTTTTCATGATTGGATAATATTCTGACTTAAAAATGTATTGTTCTAGGTTTAAATTGTTAAATTTGAGCATTGGAGGAATGGGTAAGCTAAAAAAACTTAAAGAGATAAAGGAAGATAAATGATTTAGTGTAAATCTCTTTGAAGATGTCTTCCGGCCAATTTTTAGCATCCAATATGATGGATTTGGATCTCGTGCTCTGCATATATAAATGTTGTGGATCTCTCTTTTATCTTTCCAACGAGACCAAAATCATATATATTGAACGAGTATAGCTCAAGTTGTGCCCAAAATACGAAATCATATTTTTGTTGTTAGAGTTACCTCGCTAGTTTGCTTGAACGAACAAGAAAATGAGCAAGCTAGTTAATTCACCTCTCCAGAATGCTTGAACGAGCGAGCAAATGAGCGAGATAGTCAATTTACTTCGTCAGTTTTCTTAAATGAGCGAGCAATATAATGACCTTTACATTTATTATAGATTTAATATTGAAGGATAATTATAAAGAAAAAGAAATAAAGTCACCTTTGGTGAAAGAGGAGTTAAAATGACAGTTAAGTGGTAAAAATGCGGGTAAATAAAGTTATCCAAAAAGTGAAAGTAAATATAGAAAAGTGACTAGAAAAATATTCTAGTCTATTGGGTGAAGTTTGGTAATAAATAGAGGTGCATAGATAAATAAGCTTATACCCACTAGAAAAATAAACTCACTTAAGTGAGTAGTGAGTCACTGTTTCCCATTCTTCTTCGTCGTGAGACAGAGAGCAAAAGGAGAGAAATGGAGGTTTTGAATAAAAACCTTCCAAAATTCGTAGAGAAAGCTAGAGACCTCCAAATCACTTTGTTCCAAAGCCAAACTTGTGAGAAATTTCGAGAAGAATCCATTGGTACCAGTATTTCTGGGTGGGTTTCACTGTAGAGAGAGATCTTCCTCATCTAAGATTTCGAATTTCATGGATAATGGGGATTTTGATGGAGCTTGAAGCCATGGGAGCTTGAAGTAAGCCTTCCCCTTCGTTCTAGGCAAGTTTATGTTGAGAAATCCTGGTTTTCTTTGAGTTTTGAGAAAGATTGAATTTAAGTTTTCATTTTGAAAGTTTGGTTTGATTGAGCATGTTAGTGCTTGATTGAGGCTTGGCTCATGTTGAGAAAAGTGTTCGGATGAAGATTTTAACGGTGAAAATGTATTTGGAAAAATTGAGATACCGTATTTTTGAATAGTGACGTATGTGAATAGTACCGTATACGTGAATAGTGACGTATACATGAATAGTACCGTTGAGATGAACAGTACCGTATGTATGAATAGTTAAGAAATATTTGATAAGTAAAAGATGAAATCAATAAATGGTGTGTCTGGTTAACTACTTAGTTTTGAACCATTTTATTGATATTTGTATGGATTTCCTATTCTAGGTGCGCCTAAGAGTCTTGTTGAGGATCCTACATCAGAGGAGGCTTGGTAACTCGGTTGTTGGGTAGGCCATCTATACAGCTTAGAGAGGTAAGCTCTATGTTTATGGGGTTCGCTCCTACTTTGTGTTCCGCCATAGTGTACGGACTGTGGTCAGGTTGTATGATATGTATGAGATATATGATATAGATGCATTCATATAGAGCTATATGATAATATGATATGTTTTGTTTTGATGTATTTACTTTGATATGTGTTAATATGATATGTTTTGTTATGATATGACTTCTGTAATATGATTTCTGTAACAATATATGGCCATTGATTGTATAGTACCCGGATGTTCGCTTTGGGTCCTCCCTCGGGACTGATGGTGTACGCCTCTGATATGTTCTGGTTCCGCTTTGGGGTCCTCCCTCGGGAACACGTGCGTTGATTTCCGCTTGGGGTCCTCCCTTGGGAATGACTGCGTACGCCTCTGATATGTTCTGGTTCCGCTTTGGGGTCCTCCCTCGGGAACACGTGCGTTGATTTCCGCTTGGGGTCCTCCCTTGGGAATGACTGCGTACGCCTCTGATATGTTCTGGTTCCGCTTTGGGGTCCTCCCTCGGGAACACGTGCGTTGATTTCCACTTGGGGTCCTCCCTTGGGAATGACTGCGTACGCCTCTGATATGTTCTGGTTCCGCTTGGGGTCCTCCCTTGGGAACACGTGCGTTGATTTCCGCTTGGGGTCCTCCCTTGGGAATATCTGCGTACGTTTCTGATAATATATGTGTATATGTTTTGTTTAGTTATGATATTTGATTATATGACATGTTTTATGGGATATGTATGATGATTTTGTAAATGATATTTGTTACGTACATTGATTTCCGCTTGGGGTCATCCCTTGGGAACGATTGCGTATGTCTCTGATATAACACGTTTTGTTCTGATGTGAGTATTGTGATGATTTTTGTAAAAGATATTTGTTACGTGCGTTGATTTTCGCTTGGGGTCATCCCTTGGGAATGACTGTGTTTGTCTTTGATAAGATATGTATATATGCTTTGTTCAGTTATGATAATTGCTTATATGATGTTTTGTATATTATGTATCTGACTGTCATGCAGGAAGTGAGCCCAGGGTATGGAGGGTTTTCCATAAACCTGGAGTTTACTAGAGATTCGTCTCTAACCCCGTTTGGGGATATGATTTCAGGAACACAGTTAATTGAAGAGCCTCATGGGACAAGGACACTAACCGTGGCTAGAGGTACTAGTATGAGGATGTGGAGTTCTGGGTGGTCGGATGCTACTATTTGTTTTAGACGTATTTTTGGAAAAGATGTATTGTTGCATAGTGTTCATATTCGATACATGTACATTTATGTATTCAGGCATGATGATATGACTATGTAGTATTCAGTTATGTTATGTATTGGATTGCATGCTATTAGATTTGTGGCACGGAGCCAAGTTCAGCACGCGCCCATAGATGGGTATCTGAGTATATTCTCATGACTGGTACTTCTGGAAATATATATTGTTTAAATTGTCTATCAGGAACTCTTGAGGGTGGGATTGGAAAATCCCCAGTTGTTCGATTTACAGAGGTTACTCTGTCCGATTTTCGTCTCCGTAAAATAAGAATTAAATTAGAAGAAGTATGCAATGTGATATGTCATGTGAAAAAGGATTAAAGAAAAAGAAAAAGTTAGTTCGTATTTTCGTAAGTTAAGTCTTCCGCTGTTTCTGTTAAGTATCATATGCATGTTAATTGAACCGGCTCGAGGCTGGGGATGTTACAAGCAACGTCGTAAATGGAGACCCATAGATATTTTCATTAAAAGGGAACGACCTAGGGTTTTTTCATTGATTATTCACGCGGCAAAGGCTTGAGGAGTAGGCAAAGGAGAGCTTTTGGAGAGGAGAAGGAAGAGCTTCACCGTGGATCATCTCTAATCAAGTTTTATCATGAACTTTCTTTTCTTTTCATCTTTTGTGTTTTGTTCCATAAACATGCTAGGCTAATTTCTTTTATGTAGTTAGGGTGAGATGGAATCAATGGGTTCTTGAACACTGTTTATGCTTTCTTGTAATTGATATTTATGATTTGAGTTATGTAATTAATCTGTTCACTGATGATTAGTTTTGTTTATGACTTGCACACTCATAGATAAACACTAGAGTCTTGTATGTCAATAGGAATATTAGTGTCTTGATTCCGATTGATTAATTCCTAGGATTTGTATGATCTATGCATAGACTTATAAATTCTACTGTGTGAGAGATTCCTGACCTTAATGCTTGCTCTAGAAAAAATGTTGTGAGGGATTAGGGCTTTGGATAAAGTAAATGATTAAATCACCAAGGGATTGAGGGATTTAATTAGTTTAGAAAGAATCGCTGATAACCCAATCTTGAATATTGATTGCATGAAAGGGTAAACTTGTTAAGAAAATATTGGAAAAATTGAATCCCTAACTACGCTTTTGAATATTGATTTTAAACTCGTTATTTCGTTCTTGTTTGCCTTCTTGTTTTTAGTTATTAATCTTGAAAATCAAAAATATTATTTTTATTAATCCAACATCATATTATCAAAAACTTCTAAGATCGATCCAACTTTGGTTATATAAATAAGTTATTGTTTGATAAATTAATCCTTTGAGAACGACAATCCCACTCTTTTCACTATATTACTTGTACGATTGGTGCACTTGCCAAAATTGCAACAAGAAGAAACTAAAAAATTGCATCCAAGGGTACAAAGATGAGGCATACCATTTGCATTGTTAAACTAATAGTTTATCTCAAGTGAAATGTTGTGCAGAGGTCATATTGGCCTATACCATGAAACGGTCTTTAAGAACTATTTAAAGGGTTATTCCCTTACTTTTTTAAAGTGGTTTTTATACTTTTAGAGGATTTTTCAGTCTCTGTATCGGCTCACCTCAATCCACCTTCTGAATGTGCACTTGCGTCGTACATATAATGGGGTTCATTGGACAAAATGTTTATGACTCTCCCCATTACGATTAGTAAATATTTTCTCACTTTTAAATACCCATCTATAGCCTTTTATCTTGTATTTACTGTTATATATCAAACTTGGACCGGTCATTAATTTGGTTGGAATACTGAGTCAATGAGTCATTGGTTCAACTAATGAGTCATTAGTTTAATCACATGAATTAAATATATAAAATAAAATATAAAATTAGAAGCATTATAGCTAATAGTTAGACTGAGTTTGGTGGTAAGTGCTATAAATTATAATTCACATGGTCTAGGTTTAAATCTCATTAGTGATATTTTTCAAGCATTTTATTTAAAATTTCACAAATCTGGTTCTACTTGAACCCGATTCAGAATCGGATCACTAGTTTCATACCAAATCAAATACATGAATGAATTGGGGATCCGGTTTATGAGTCAACCGATTGAACCAACATGTCCTTTACATCATTCTCTTTTTTGAGCCTGTGACTAAAATACTCACAATGAATCCCTCGTAGAGTTTTGATCCTTACATCTAAGAACATTATTACATCAAAATACTTCATCCCATCAAGAAAAAAACCTAATATCACCATCAATCCGTTCACCATAAATATTCAAAGTAATTTGAATCACTCTTAGGGGGCGTTTGGTTGAGGAGATATTTTTTGAATACTAGGGAAATGGAATTGATAGGGAAATGGTAAGAAAGTTAGATAAAGTGAGATAGATAGAAAAATGTTAAAAAAAGTTGTTTGGTGGGGAAAAACTTTACTGGAAAAATTAGGTAAATTTTAGGAAATGTATGTTTGGTTGGAGGTGAGATATAGATGGGAAAACAATCTTAAATTACTAAAATAACCCTGATTTTAAATTATAAAAAACCCCACAGCTGTCAAATTACAAAAATGTATATTTGACTCTTTCCAACGACCATAAAAACGAAAGGGGGAAAAATATTGCATCATATCATCTCTGTTGCTTTAGAAAGAACTTAATATTTGTTTGCTTCAGCTTTTCATTCTTTGAGGATTTCTTCTTGGTTTCAGTTTTGCTTATTGGTCTTCAATCTATCCAAGGTCACTTATGTGATTCTTATTTCAGATTTCCTCTCTCTCTTTTTTTCCTTTTTTTTTTGGTTGAATTTGGAATTTTATTGTGTGTTCTGGATTCTGCCCTTTTATTGAAACTACCCCGTTAGCATTTCTGGAAGAATATCGGTTGAGGTACTCATTTTATGCAGATAGTAGAATGCAAAACGGGTTATTGAATATCTGTACTATCCCTTTCTATTAGGAAAAAGCTTGAATTTTTACTCCTGGTTTTGAGTTTCTATACTTGGGTTTGATCTTTCTGGGCTAATTCTGATTATATTTAATTTTTCCATCGGTGTGAAGTTTGAAAGGAAATATGGTTTGATCATTCATTTACATCTCTGTTGCATTTTGAAAGGGTATATTGGTTATTCAAAAATGATTCAGACAGTGGAAAGCCGTTGTTTTACAAAAACCCACGGACGAAAACGCTTTTTAAACAGTACCGAAACCTATCATTTTCCATTTAAATTCAGAAACCTATGCATTTTGAATCACCAGCTTTTTGTGTGAATCTTTTCAACCAAACATTTCTATCGTAGAATCCTTCTCTCACTTGCCTAGGAAAATTTGGAAAAGACCCCATCCAAACACCACCTTAAAGTGATCATGTAAGATTTCCTTTTGTATTATGTGCAGTACATATAAAGATATTAAAATTACCGTCAATGCTGTATAAAATGCATGCAAATAATGTACCCTCCAAAAAAAAAAAAAACAATTAAATAGGACCAAGTCTGTTGAAACAGTGGTTGCTTATACATAAATATCATTTTAATAGGACTAGGGCCCTTCATACCTATCATAGACTAGTGATTTGTATTGTTATCAAGGATGTCTTTCCACAAACAAACAATCATGTGGGAATCACATGGTATGATCACATGGCATGTTTCATGCCATGTTTATAAGTTCCCGATTTGATTTGGTATTATGTTGGGGAATCACCACCACCTTGAGATTTGGCCACATTTAGTTATTTACTTCTCTTATTCTCGACAGAAGCAAATTCCCCACTGGCAATTCGTATTTTTTTGTGAACGAGAATTGATGTCCCAGTGCAAGTATTCATTTGAAAAATATACACTTGTTTTTACGCACCCTCACACGATAGAGTGGATTCATCTGCACATGTTAATTGACCAACACTACATATTAATTTTAAAATTTTAACACGTCATGATTCGTTTTGATATTAAATAATATTTTTAATATCAGAAAAGTATTTCTCCAGTCACTGGAGATAAAGTTATTTCCAGTAAGCTCAAAACGACGCTGTTTTGGGTTATAAGATTAAAAAATTATAATGATACAGACTAATATAACCCTGCAATATATTAGAATTACAAAAATACATTGATTTTTGCCCCAAAACAACACTGTTTGTTGGCTCACCGGAGATATTGAGCCTACACACCCAATTTGTTTTTGCATGAGGGGTTCACACTGGGGTAGTGAGGCAGAACTTGTTTTGGTGCTTAGTTGAAGAAGTGTAGCATTGGCTTGAGTTTAAGATGACAAGGGCACATTTTTTTTTTGTGATATATAACCATTTTCAAACCAAAAAGCCAACCATAAATCATCCTTCATCGAGAAATTCATTTTGAACCTTTAGCCTTTTCTTTTTCACATACCCACATTTCACCCTGCCCCACACATCAATCACACCTTTTAGTTATGATGGAAAGAAAGAAAAAAAAAAAAGAAGAAGCAAAGATGTTGTTGGCTGTTTTTACCAAGTGAAAGCAAGAAGCTGCTAAATAAAAGAGAAATAATAATAATAAAAGAAAAAAGAAAAAAAAAAGAAAGAAAGAAGAAATAGCAGTAAAAAAATGGCAGCCACTGTATTGATTGTTCAAGCTTCAGGATCATGTTAGTTTTCCATTGTAACTAAGTTAGCCGAATCCTCACTATTTGTCCACCCTCCCCTTAGCCAAGTTACAACCTATTCAAGTCCCTTTGATTGAGCTTAGGTCTGTGTATCACTTTAGAGACAAGAGCATCTTAGCAAGCCTATTTTACATCTTTTCCCAGTGTTGGATTGAGAGAAACAGAATCCTTGAGCATTGAGTGAATATTTTTTGTAATTGAGTGAGGATTTGAAAAGTTGCCATCTCTGTTGCATTTTAAAAAAATTCTGCATGCTGTGTTAGAAAGTAAATTTTCAAAGATCTCTTTTGTCATTATTCAACAGTTAGTGAAGCATCCATGCATTTGAATTTTGCACACTGCCTGCTGAGTAATTTTATGGAATAAAAGAATCACTAAGCTGCTTGGTTTGTGATTGACTGATTGCTGAATTAAATACATTCCTCTGTTCCATGTTCTTTGTGGAAATGTGAAGCCCTAATTGGTTTGAGTATTTTTGAATG